TATATGTGTGTGTTCTGTGTATATTTATTATGTATATAAATACACACACATACAGTATACATTTTGAAAATATTTACATGTATTTACATGTCTATATTTACATTCATAGGATTTATATTATAAATATATTTAATATATACACAACATATTTTTCTGAAATATATACATGCATGTGTGTGTATTTATATATACATAATAAATATACACAGTACGCATACATATATTATGTAAACAAACTTTTATTTTGGATGCTATCAATCACAATTAATCATTTGACAGCACTAATTTTAATGTCAGTTAAATATTTTACTTTAAATAGATTTATATTTAAATGTTTTTAGTTTTAATATATATATATATATTTTTTTTTTTTTTCAATCGTCAATCAATTGCAGCAAACATCCACCATATTAAATCTAGCAAGTACTCACTACGCAGTGAAGTACGGACACCAGCCTTTTCTACGCCCAAAGTCCTTCAGATCATCCAAGTTATATATACCAGGGGGAATGGGCACCTGTCTGCCTACTGCATCAAATTGCTGCATACAGGCAAATGATTATTTTAATTAGTGCTGTCAAATGATTAATCGCGATTAATTGCATACAAAATAAAAAAATTTGTTTGAATAATATATGTGTGTGTTCTGTGTATATTTATTATGTATATAAATACACACACATACAGTATACATTTTGAAAATATTTACATGTATTTACATGTCTATATTTACATTCATAGGATTTATATTATAAATATATTTAATATATACACAACATATTTTTCTGAAATATATACATGCATGTGTGTGTATTTATATATACATAATAAATATACACAGTACGCATACATATATTATGTAAACAAACTTTTATTTTGGATGCTATCAATCACAATTAATCATTTGACAGCACTAATTTTAATGTCAGTTAAATATTTTACTTTAAATAGATTTATATTTAAATGTTTTTAGTTTTAATATATATATATATATTTTTTTTTTTTTTTTTTTTTTTACATAAACTGTGTGTGTTATGCCCCCTTTAATAATGACCATCAGTACTTCCAGTATGGAATGGCAGAAGAAACAGACTTGATTCTTTTACTCACCTCAGGGGTTTGCGGTCAATGCAGACCTTCTTATAGATGTCTTTAAGGAACTGAGGGGCACTCTCTTGCACCACATGATGGATTCGCAAACGTGCCTTCAGGTACTCCAGGAAGTGCTTTATAAAGCCCACGAAGTGCTCTGCAGTGCGAATGCTGCCAGGTACAGCCTCTGTAGTTAGAGTCACATATCCCAAATATATTTGGATACTTAAGGCACACTTAATGAAGCAAAATTTTAAAACAAGTGGTATTTAAAGAAATGTAGCTATTTAAAGCAAAATTATCACAAAAGAAGTCTGTTAGGTTTCATATTATAGAACAGACATTGTATTTTTATTGTTCAGATCAACACTAAAAGTATCTGGACATTTCTGGATGTCAAACAGGGAGGATGACTTCATTCATCAGCTAAAAATTACCTTGGGACCAGTTGGTTGAAAGCCATCACCAAAATGCTCAGTTAAAAGTTTTGTGAAATATGCCATTTGTTTGCAGATGCCACTTGGTTTATCTAATGCAAAGACAGACATTTTTGTGTGACTCAAATATTTTAGGGGTTGTTGTAGATAATAAATCTGACCTTGAAGGATTTCATCTGGCAGAACTGGGTTGGACAGATACATGTCAGTTTCTCTGGCAACATTTGCTTCTTTAAGACCTTCAACTAATCTCCTGTATTCTTCTCTGAGTTTGGCAGCATCTGTTTCCTTAATTCTTTACAAGAACACAAACAGACGGCAGGAAATGAAAGGCATTACTCATGTAGTAATAAATAAAATACTAATGAATTCACTCTTCCAGTATTTTGTCACACCTGCTAATGGTGTTTTGCAGGGTTTCCACATTAGTCTGACAGCGATCGAGAGTCCTCCTGGTAATGTTGATGCTCATGGAATCAATACACACATTATCTAGCGGGAACAATATCAGCTTAAATAGCCAAGATCTGTCCACATGATATGGGTGATCATAACAAGTACTGCAAATTTCTACTCACCGATGTTGTGAGCCTCGGCGAACACAACTACAGATTTCTTTGTGAGCTCTTTCGAGACCAGGTCTGCAATTTTTGGATCAAGTAAGTAATGGTAGCTGTACACTACAATGTTTGCGTGAAGAATCTAAAAGAAGAAAAGTATGAGAGCAACAACAATCAATTGTATACAATCGTCAATCAATTGCAGCAAACATCCACCATATTAAATCTAGCAAGTACTCACTACGCAGTGAAGTACGGACACCAGCCTTTTCTACGCCCAAAGTCCTTCAGATCATCCAAGATATATATACCAGGGGGAATGGGCACCTGTCTGCCTACTGCATCAAATTGCTGCATACAGGCAAATGATTATTTTAATTAGTGCTGTCAAATGATTAATCGCGATTAATTGCATACAAAATAAAAAAATTTGTTTGAATAATATATGTGTGTGTTCTGTGTATATTTATTATGTATATAAATACACACACATACAGTATACATTTTGAAAATATTTACATGTATTTACATGTCTATATTTACATTCATAGGATTTATATTATAAATATATTTAATATATACACAACATATTTTTCTGAAATATATACATGCATGTGTGTGTATTTATATATACATAATAAATATACACAGTACGCATACATATATTATGTAAACAAACTTTTATTTTGGATGCTATCAATCACAATTAATCATTTGACAGCACTAATTTTAATGTCAGTTAAATATTTTACTTTAAATAGATTTATATTTAAATGTTTTTAGTTTTAATATATATATATATATTTTTTTTTTTTTTTTACATGATATATTTTATATATATTAACTAACAATAAATGTTTATCATTTTAAAACATAAATATTTTAAAAATGTAAAAATATTTCTTCTAATAAACATGATTATTTCATATTCTAGAATACAATAAAATACATACAGGGATTCAGGCCTTACACAAATTGTACCAGGATTAGAAAAAAAGGCCAAATGCTACAGCAAATGCTTGAGAAATGCTTCACACCTCATAGAACTGGCAGACAGGTTGACTTGGGTTACTGGGATGCTGCGCACGAATATATGATGCTGTCAGGCTGTGACACTTTCCATCTACTTCTTTTCCAAAACGCAGAGAGCTCACCTGTAATCACACATTCACTTTTGCTTAATGAGTTCACCTGCACAAAAAGATTTACTGAAACCACACTTCTACCTCAGGATGAATGCACAGGTTTTTCCGTGAAGAAAGTGCCAGTGCAAGGAAGTCATTTTTCACTCCTGTTTGCTTTGCATAATAATCCATTAGTTTCCTTAGCTCCTCCACAACCTGACAGGAGAACAGAGAGGTTACAGAAAATAAATAGATAATTAAACGATGAAACGCATATTTGAAAATAAATGTAAAAATAAGTCATGAACTAAGTATGCAATGGGTTATAAACATGTATGTAATGTTGAATACCTTCTCTATCTCAGGCACTGTGCGAGAACAGTAGACAAGCTTGGTGACTTCTAAAGGGTGATCCTGCAAGTGATGAAAATATAAATCAAATTATATGCAGTTATCAGACTCTCATTATAGTGAAGTTTCAAGTTATATAACACAGTCATTCAGAAATCCCTCACCTTCTGGTAAGCAACAATGAGGGAAAGAAGAGAAATTGTTTTTCCTGTTCCTGAAGGCATCTCGAGAACTCCATGACCCTTTGCAAGATAATAAAAGTGGGGAAACAGATAGATAGATAGATAGATAGATAGATAGATAGATAGATAGTAATGTATTATACATAATTAAGACACCAACAAAAGCTATTCAACATTACAAAAACACAAGCACTAATTTTCACATGAGATGCTTACACTCAATTCCATTCAATATTCTAATTGCAAATGGTTTAATTCTAAATAAATAATAGTGCTGTACTGTATAAAGTAACTGAAAATGCAGTTTAAACCCGTTTTAGATTACGTGTTGCACATTACATCACATGGTACTTTTGGCACGGCGTGAAAAGTCATGTTAACTACCCTTAATTAATGTTGGCTTAATAAATGGATTATAACACACCTTTGCGTCCAGCGTCCTCTTCAGCTCAAGCATGTACGAGTATTGTTCAGGATAAATGTAGTCATACGGAAAGTAGACTAATAACCCCTCGATATTCAGCCTAAATGGATGAAAGAGGCATTAGAGCAGAAAACCTCTTTTTAATAAACAGCGGTTTGGAGAATAGCCAGTCTGCACATTTGTACTCACTTCATGTTGGCTAACAGTAATTTGCAGCACTGGGGTGTTTCTGGAGGTCAGTTTTCTATAATTTCACACATTTATATAGCAGTAATTGTAACTGTCATATGTATTTTACACAACAGACTTCTATCGCGTTTTTAGAGTTTTTTACAGGCGTTTTTAGTAGCACGAAAAGCTGTCGCAGTTAAAACGCGTAAGGTATTTTGGCTCTGTGATTGGTTGTTCGCTTGAAAACCCTCCCCAGTCTGTTATCTTATTGGATGATACGCATGTCAATTCACCTTTTCAGCGGAAGTACATTTAGCACCTTCGGGGTTAGACCTAAATAATCGAAAAGAAGTCCGGACTAAGCTTTCACTAAAGAAAAAATTGTCATGACAACCAGTCTGTCATTCTGCCCGACTGGTTGTCCTTTCCTACCATCAGCTATTGTAAAGCAATAATAAATCAATTGTAATAATAATAATAATAATAATACATTTAATTTTAGGAAATACTTTTTAAAAAATTGATAGATGTAGATATTTTTTGTTAAATACTTATTCCATTCCACAAACATTCCATTTTAATACAAGAAAGAAAAAAAGAAAGAAAGAAAAGTATTTTATTATTAAAACAGTAGTAGAGGCATATCTTTTTATAATATTTTATTTACATGATCATTTTATTTCATATATCACAACGCAATAAAATACTGTATTATAACACCCCATCAAAGATAAACCTTTACAAAGTGATTTCCTTTGTACTCATATTAGGCAGGGAAAATAATTATCTTAGATCACCTAGATCTAATGTTTTACATATCTGCATAATATGTTTACTCCAGTGGAAGTAAATCAAAACTCCATTTTGGGTCATTACTTGATAATAGTCACCTACATTGACTAAAAATGATACTTTCTGAACTTTATGCAAAATGTTTGACTTTTTCCAGGAAAATGTATTACATAGCCAAAATCCCAATTCCTTTCCCTGCAAAGCATAGCTTAATAAGTAATAGCAAATATTAAAATGCTTAAATATTTTACACCTCCAGTTAGCCTAAAATGACCAAAACCCAGCAAAACACTGCTCTTGTTATGTTATAAATTAACAATGTTGTGCTATGACTGGATCACCTTATGGAAATGAATAGATTGATGGATTGTATTTTTCAGAGTCAAAGCTGTAAAGATTATTGCCTAAAAATATGCCATAACTCTGCAGCATCTGTGGCACAGCCAGCTATTGCTCATCCCAATTCTTTCATTGTCCTCTGAAACAGGCATAATAAGATGCCATGGGTGAGCTAACGCCTATATTACAGTATCTAAAAGAGTCCCCTTATATCTCATGTCTCTCTTCCACACTCTTATAACGGTCCATGATCCTAAGAACATCCTCCAAAATGGATGGTCCCAGGTCCAGGTCCAAACCCATAAGAGACTCCGAGCGTGACATGCTGGGTGAGATAGCCGGAGATTCACAGTGTTCGCTCTGCAGGTCCTCATTACTAAGCCCTGCATCAGAGTCCAGACTCAAGCCTCGTTTTGGCTCCAGCGGACCGCAGCCTTCCAACATGGAGTCATCCGAGGAAGCCTCGGATAAGGAGCCCGTTGATGGCACCAGGTGCGGCAGGACTGCGATGGAGGCAGAGAGAGTGAGGTCACGACAGGGATCCCTGCGCTTCCCAATCCCTTCCTCACACACAGACATGGAGCGCTGCTGTGTCGGACTGTGATGGTGATTCTGCTGCTTATGAACAGGGGACGGCTGCTCGTCTAAATGCAGACGTGGGGGTTTAGGAGGAGGTTCCACAGGAGCAATGAACACCGGCATGGAGATGGTGGTTTTGAGGAAAGAATTGTGATGTGAATTATAACTGCGATGGTAAGTGTGGCTCTTGCTGTTCACATCGAAGATCTCATCCATTCTTTTGTCAATGCTGTGAGAACGAGAGCCGGGCATTTGATTGAGGGTTGGAAGCATATTGAGTTTGCCTTGCAAGAATCCCACATCGCCAAACATGTCCCCTTCTCCCTCAGGCCCAACATGGGCACTGTGACGCACATCACCCAGCGGTGGGCTTATCATGTCTCCTGAAAGAACGTCCCGTATTTTTTGCTTCTTGCCTCGCTTTGGTGTGGATGTCTTTAAGTACATGGGTGTCTTGGCTGGCATTCTGTTTCCCAGTATTTTGTGTCAAATGTGTGATGATGTTTGTCACAGAAATGGAGAGGAACCTAGTCCTCAGTCTGATATTAACTCTTTCATACGTTTGGGTTGGTTTGTCTCCTTTATTTCACTTCTAAATTTCCCAGAAGGCAGCTGGAAGCGACGTCCTTTATGTCTGAAACTCTTCAGAAGCTCCTGGAATGTATCATCACAACTGCAGATCTGAGGAACAAACAAAGAGAAGAAAGATTTACAACCTGTGAAACTCGAGTGGGGTTGTAGAAAAAAAAACTCAAAGAAAAGCACATATATTTACTGTGCAATTTCAACGACAAAGAAAGCAACTCTGTTTTTCTTCTCCCCAGAGCGGAGATTAAGATTTTTTTTTTCTCTAGTCTTTGCAGCTACTTACCTATAAATTACAAACCCTCAGAAATGTCAATCTTTCCACAACGTTGCAGGAATTTGTTGGATTTTCAAAAGATATAATAGCTAGGATGTTATTTGCGTGCATGCCTTTATGAGAATATTATGAAACTGCCCCAGAACATTATTGGCAGTAGAGAACGAGACTACAAATCCCCACTTCTGTTCTCCTTTGAACTCTAGCCATTAAATTACATCCACACTGACGTATGTTATTGTATTCAACATTTTAATGTAGTGTGAAGATTGCACAACATTTGGAAACCTTCCGCTGAACACAACAGAATAACATGCAGCAAAGATACATTATTTACATCAAGTGTCCCTGAAACATATAAACATTTATCGCTTTTGAATAATGAGATCTTATTTTCTCAGTATTACAGCACAGCACAACCGTGAAACCTTACTTTATACATTAGAATAATGATAGATAGACAGACATACGGATGGACGGATGGATAGATGATAGATAGATAGATAGATAGATAGATAGATAGATAGATAGATGATAGATAGATAGATAGATAGATAGATAGATAGATGATAGATAGATAGATAGATAGATGATAGATAGATAGATAGATAGATAGATAGATAGATAGTTTGATAGATAGATAGATAGAAATAGTCAGATAGATAGATAGAAATAGTCAGATAGATAGATATATAGATAGATAGAAATAGTCAGATAGATAGATAGATTGATAGATAGATAGATAGATAGATAGATAGATAGATAGATAGATAGATAGATAGATAGATGGTTATTTTTACTTCACCCAGAACAGATAAGTTAATTATGCTGTCACTGGCACAGCATGCTTTAAAACAAGCACATTTTTGTTATTGTTTCTCTATGAGAGCCATATGTTTTTACCATTTTGACTTCACAGCTGTGACGCAATTATGAAAACATGTTGTTACAAAAATATATGTTGAATGTTTAAAAGCTGTGTTCTGTAAATGGAGAGAAAGGGTGATTTACATGTCTTATATGATATCTGTCCTCATGACCTTCAGAAAATCACTTGGACTTGTTACACTAACACACTCCTATTATGTAATGGTTCAATTTAAATGGTTATTTAGTCTACACCCACCATGGTGTTTAGAAAGTGAGAGGCTTGTTTTTTTTATCAGTTTATTATTGCTTTTTAATATGTTTATTTGAAATTGCATAGTTTTTTGTATAACCAAATGAGAGAACAATGTGGATGACTAAAACCTTGATAAAGTATAATAGGGCTTTCACTGTCACAAAACCCTGATTTGTGCAATGAAAAGCCATATGACAATACAGTTTTATATATATATATACATATATTTCCTTAAGCACTCTGTAAAAACAATGTTAATATCATTATGTAATAATATTTTTGTTACAGCCATTTAACTTACAATAATGTCTGTTATTTCTATTACATTTTAAGAGTTCTGAGTTCAGTTTACGACACCAGAAAGGAAATTAAAAGTTGTCAAAAAGTGTAATGAATGCTATATACTGAAAAATTCAAGCAGCAAAGTTTTCAATGTTAATTTTTCTATCGTACAAATGTATTTGATTCAACAAGTAGCCTAATCACTACATGGCTCATCAAGACAATAAATCTCAGCACTGATGAGATTAGTAAATTGAGATTTAAATTCTAATATTCAAAACTACAGGCGAAAGTATCTGTACTTGCCTCTGATATCTGCGTTGAAATCACTCGTTTGTTCGGGTAGGTTATTCCGGGGTGTTAGTGGATAAGCTGTTCTCGGTAGGGTAGCTATAAACCTCTTAAGCTGCAGAAGGGCAGGGACGATGCTCGTGAATGAGGAAATCTTTGGCAGGAGGAGGGCATGAGGACGCCTAAAGTGAGTTTCCGCGCGCGCACACACACACACACACACACACACACTGGACGGCGTCTATCTGTTTTAAGTGTTAAAGTGCGCACTTATATAGACAGATGTTCCGTTTGTGCTCGCTTCCTCCCTCAGTTATTTCTTTGTAATTAAAGGGACAGTTCATTCAAAAAAATTGTGTATTAAAAAAACACTTCCAATCATGTACTCATCTTCATATCTTTGAAAACTCTTATGGCTTTTTGTCATCTGTTTAACACACACACACACACACACACACACACAAACATTATTTAAAATGTCAACTCTTTTTCATGAATGAAAGTAGCCTGTGGTGAGTGACCAAGTTTTAGTCAACAACTTGTTTCAATCTGTTCCTTACACAAAGGACTTTGAATACAGTGTAGCCTACATGCAGTACACCATTTTTATGATAGTGTTTTGTTGTCCTTTTTGAAGCTTGACAGCCCAGTCCCCATCCATATCCATTATATGGAAGAAAGCAGCTCAAACATTCTGGTAGATATCTCCTTTGGTGTACTATGGAAAAACCAAAGTTGGATAGATTTGGAATGACATGACAATGACTAAATGATGACAGGATTTTCATTTAGTAGTAAACTATTCCTCTACCTTCAGGCCACTCAGCATAGCAAGTGCTTGACAATGTCTTTTCCCATGCTGATGCTGCATTGACTCATGGCATAGACAAGCCCTACCCTGTTGAAGGTCTGTCTTAATAATAGTCTAAAAACAAAGCAAATCATGCTGCATAAGCACAGAAACAATGATGTAATATGCATTTACTGGTAAATACCACTAATCATTTTCAATAATAAGTAGTCTAACATATAAGACGTACATATTGTAAGCATTAAATGTTTGTCAAAGACTTATTATTGCAAGTTAAAATGTTTTGCAAAATTTGTACATTGTGGTTATAATTAGTTTTAAGTTAAATGTATTATTTAATGTTTTGAAAGATTAAAAATGGTGTATCATAATTGTGTATCATCTTTCCAAAGAAATGAATGTGATGTGGCAAGTCTCTTGTGACGGACAGCCAGATCATCAGTACACTTGAAGATAAAAATGCAGACGCAAGCACCTATAAAGATGTTGAAAACAGCAAAGAGAACCTACTTTTATTAAATTAATTTTCTTCAAATTAGAAACATTTGTTTGACATACTCACTATAAGACTATAAGCCAAGTTGATCTCAGACTACAAATATGCATACAAGGCCCTTTCCAACCATCCTTTAAAACAGGTCTCTGTTTTATGGCTCTGTGGGTTTAAGCTCTAGTTAATGTTAAAATCAACGACTACCTCTGGAATTATTATCAGACTTCCAACATTCACAGACCTGACATTTATAACTTTAACACACACTCAACACACCGAGTCTAACCCATTTTTTAGGTTCAGTATTCAGTGTTTTGGATTAAGCTTTTGAGCTTTTCCTGTAAATTTCAACATGATTTCACTTGATGTATCATAATGATGAACCAGCTGACTGAATACTATTCCATAATGTCTCATTATCTGTGTGAAAATGATCCTTAGACTATGATTCAGTGACCTAGAAATTCCTCTTACTCTGCTGACAGACAAAACTATAATGGCATAGAACTTCTGTGTCATTTTGTGCAACTTCAATAAGGTCACATACATTCGTTACAACACCCAATTCACAGATTACTGCAGAAACCATGTGAGGATTAAGACCATCCTCCTCCACATATCATTTCTTGGAAGATCTAATGTCTGTTCTGGTTGAATTAATCAGTGGTTTAGAATTAGAGGGTTCAGTTGCTGGTCAGCTCTGACGCAAAGGGCCAGAATGACCCCTCGGGTCAACCAGCACCCCCTTCTGAGAAGCCTTCTCAAGTCGTCAATCCATCAAAGATGTTACTATGTATATTGTATGGATGGGCAGTAAATGGGGAATGCTGAACCAGAGATCAATTTTGCAGGACAATTGACTATCTAAGTGACCTTACTAGCGGGAATTCTGGGATATGACATGTGGTTTGCATTAGTGCATTAGAGTGTTTTCACAGTGTTCAGAGCACAGGCCTGTCAGAAGGCATTCTGGGAGGATGACACACTAAGCTGAGATGGAAAAAGAGCTGTAATTCCACCATGAAATCACACTGGACTCTGACAATTCTGACTTTTACTGATGTGTGGCATATTTTGGACATTCTTATTGGACTTTTTAGACCTCGTCTATCTATAGAATAAATAACATAACATTGTGTAGATCATGGAGCATAATAAAGTCTATTAATCACTGTCCAGACAGATTAAAGTCAAAAGTTGGAATGATGTTGTTAAAGCCTACATGCCATAAACATAAATGGACAGCATTTAAACAGTTTTACACTAGTTTAGTCACACTACGTTACCATTCATGGTCTATTTAGTCTGCTCCTCACAAGGACACATTGCTGCCAGTGTGGGCAGGGATTACAATAAGATAAGAAAACAACACAAAGGACTGAAATAGAACAAAGAGTGACGAATAAAATATTTATATATATATCTTTAGCCCAGTCTGAAATAGCTTACTTCAGTTTCATTGACATGTCACAAAATCAGTGTGATTTACTACAGCAATTTAATGAGAGCAGACTTGGGAAAAGGCACAGCTCAGCAGGAAAAGAAATAAACAGACCGTATGGCCCATTTAGTGCAGATAGTTCCCAGAGGGCCGAGGCGCTGCTGTGGGAACTCAATATACTACGTTTGAATTGATTTTATGCTAGAGAGTGTAACTTTATGAAAATAAATAATTATAACAAAATTATTGGCAAAAGATGCTGGCCATAATAATAGTCAATTATTATTATTTTAAAAAGCAGTGCAATTTTATGATTATTTGCAAACATTTTGCCCACCCATTCAAATTTTGGAGTTTTTTTATTTCAAACTTTAAAG